GTAACCCCAAAAAACCAACAGATCCTCATAAGCAACCCTCAAAGTCCATGAGCTCTGAGGTCATCTCAAAACCACTTGAGGACAGTTCTGCCTTCCATGCTAGCAGCACACTTGTCACACACTGTGCCCCTGCCCTTAGCCAGTGCTTTTTCTAGCACAGCAGTACCTGTGGCACAGGAGCAGGTCAATTCTGCAGCTGGTTTAGAAGATGCTCTAGTGCAGGCTGGAAAGACCTTTCAGGCTCACATGTACACTTCTGAACATCACTGCTCTCAGGCTGACAGAACAGGCTCTGCACTGCTCTGACACAAAGGCCTCCCTGCAAGGTTATCCCTTCTCTAATTAGGTATATTTTATCTGAAAGGTTAAGGTGTCTCTTAAGCAGAACTGAAAGGAGGAGAGACTACTGACTTGGAGTCAACTTGCAGAGCTCACAGAGCCCCTCCAAATGGAAGATCCAAACTTGAAGCACCAGTCCCAACAGTGACCTAGAGTTGTGATCACTGCACCAGCACAGCAGCCCTTCCCAGTCAATGCTCTGTGCATGATTTTTTCCATCTATGGTCCAGACACAAGTGGAACAAATATATACCCAAAAGTGGCAATTCAGGGCCAGGCTAGAGGTTGCTTTAAGCACTCTGTGTACATTTTTTCTCTCCTCTAGTCCACACTGGAAATATATTGATATTACTACAACAGCATCCAATGTCTATTATGCCAGACTGTCTTCAAGAGTTCAGCAGCAAGTGCCAAGCTGGCCTACTTGTGCTAATCATCTGCATCTTCTTCATGTTCCCCACAGCTTCAGCATCCTTAGAGTTCCTCTCAGGAAAAAAGAAAAACAAACACAGAGACAGAAAACTCCACCACCACTATCCAAAAGCAGAACACCACTCTAGCTGGGAACACAGAAGGTAAGTCAGCATTCAAATTGACAGGTCATAACAAGTGAGGAGAAACATTCCACAGAAGTGTTTTGTGAGTCTGCATCAAACAAAACCAACAAACTACTAAACTACTCTGGCATGGGGTTTGAGGTGCTGCCACAGAGAGAACCAGCCAGCACAGAGTCTGGGAGTGAGACAACACTGCATGAAGTGTTTGGGGACACGTGCCACCTTGCCCTCTGCAGCAGGCCAGCGGTATCAAACAGGGTCAGAGGAAACAAAGGCTGAAGCAAGGGAGGCTGTGCAGCACCAGGATCATTTTGAATACAAATAAAGCCCATTCCTGAGACTCCTCTGAAGGTGTTTGACTGCTGGTTGCAATTGTGACAAGCAGCTGTCCAAAAACGGAGCAGCCGGTTGTGCCAGTCCCTGGTGACTGGAAGGAAGGGGCAGCGAGCACCAGCCACAGCCTGCTAAGATAACTCCTGAAAAACAAGGTGATGTCAAGCCAGCACAGAAGTGATGCCAGCCAGCAAGGTGGCCTGCAAGCAGCCACTCCAGCACAGGGTTATGCAAGACTCAGATGGCTCAGTGTGAGAGAACGAGAGGCTCCGTGGGGAGGAACGTGCTGTGCCTGAAAGCTGAAGGACAGGTGGTGCAGACACCTGAGCTGTGACTGTGCTGCTCTAGCACTCTTGTGCTTCTCTCCTTGTCAGTGTAAACAAGGGACAGCATTTTCTGCAGGAAAAGTCTCTTGGGACATCCCCCTGCAGTGCATGGACAACACACACTGCAGCACCCACAGTCCATCAGGGAAATCCAAAGTCCATGCAGCCTCCTCAGTGCCTGCTGACAGCTCCAGGCAGTCCCACTTTCAGACAGGAATGAGCAAAGCCAACTGGAATAAACAGGACTCTCTGCTATATCTCACTCTAGGAGCAGCAGATGCAGCTCCTACAGTTTAAAAGACACTAAGCACAGATTTGGGAAGTCCTTTCTGAGCATGTAGACATGGGTCTGTTACCTAACAGACTTGGATTCAATTCCCACTGAGACTATTGAGCATTATTTCAATATCTTTCATATAAACAATATAACAGTGATAACCAACTGGGTGTGAGCTTATTCAACAGAAGTTATAAATAAAAATAACTACAAGAAAAGGACTTTGGACTCCTCACTTGCAGTTCAGCTAGCTCTTCTCAAAGACACTTGGCATAAAGATATGTGTATTCTACGTCCAGTATAGGGAAAGAACAGACTGTTTGAAAGCTCCATTCACCATGGGAAAGCTATAATTGACAAGGTTAAAATGGCAGATTCTTACAAGATTTGTAAAGCAATGGAAGCCACAAGCTGCCTCAAGGCAAAGGACCACACCCTGTGCTCTTCTATGGTTAGCAAATAGGAAGAGGATTTAAGCCTGTGGCTGGACTACCAGGAAGCAGCAGAGGAATTAATAGGACAGAAGCAATGGGATGCACCATTTGGAGTTTATCAGCCTCCACAGGTAAGGTGCAAAGCTCCCACAGATGTTGAATAGAGAGGGGGTGGCCTAAGTCTCACAAGATGAACATGGGACTTAATTTTGTGGACTCCCCATTTCTCCAGCATCCACCAGCTACAGAGTATGAGCAGCACCATGCTCTGTCAGAAAGCAGAGATATCCATGTCCAGCAACTACACCACACAGCTCACCATCTCCTCTGCACCCCACAGCCAGAGAAATAACCCTGCCTCCCCTACCACGCCTGAACTCCATTTTCTCTGGCCAATTAAGAAGGCAAGCAAGTCCATTAGCCACGCTGAATCATTTCCAGGGAATTTCACAGGTGTGATACCTCACACCCAGTTTTAAAATCACAATTGTAAAAAAAATGTTTGTTCTATAGCTCATCTTAATTCAAATTTAATACCTATGCAGCTTATTTCCATTGTCAGTGGTAAGTCTCCATTTTGTCTAAAGGAAATTCCTTCTGTCTCCAGTTGATAAAGAAACACTGATCTTCAAAGTATATCCCAAATATTTAACTACACTCTGATGCTTCTACAGACACATAACAGCACAGAAAACTTGTGCACATTAATCCAGAATATCTTCTAACAGCAAATCAGGCTGTAATTAAGACACATCATGACATAAGGAAGATTAGCATGTTTGGCATGATATTTTCCTTATTAGCTGGAGGCAGAAACAAGTTCCTTGTCAGTGGAAACACACTGTGAGGGCATTAGGACGCAGATAAAAGGCGTCTCATTGCTGGCACTTACTTGTTTTTAACAGCTTGAAGGAAAGGAAGGAACACACAGTATCAACTGCAATTGGTTTTAAGGGTATCCCTTGTTGATGGAACACAAATATCCAGTCCAGACTTAGGGCCACCCCTTTACCATCAAGAGCCTGGATTACAAACTTTTATCCCTACTCTGCAGCACCAGATGGTAGCTCACATACATTTCAATTATTTATTGAATAGGCACTTTGTTATAGCAGGGTAATCCCACACTGCAGTAAAACCTACACACTGTTTTTATTGCGAGCTATACTTTTCATCAAGTCAGTAACCTTTTCACATTCAGTGAGCACAATAAATAGAATTAAAAGAAGCGATTTTATAAACAATTGGATAATCGGCCTCTCCATCACACAAAAATGACAACGCTGGGATCAATCAGTAAGACACAACCACCAGCAGCGCTATAGAAAAAGCATATCATTCTCTGGCCTGCCCCAAATCCTTCCAACTTCAGTTTTCAAAGTATGCTGCAGTCTGATCTATCACACTTAACAATTTGCTGGTGCTCACTCCTTCAAGCCATCAGCTTGAAAACAAAAAGCCCTGAATGCTCTTTGCAGAAGACATACAAAGCTCCCATGACAAAACAAATAATCAATGTTCCCCAGGCTGCAGCCTTGCGGGGCAGATGTGATAAAGTGGTTAATTATTCAGTTGGCAATCGCATTACTGACGTCAATAGAAGAGTCCAGGAAGTGAATCCTCTTAGTTTGTTAGTGTGTGACAAAGAGTGGTGGTCCCCACAGAAATTAAGGAGAACCAGCTGTCCCTTCATGTTAGTGCTCTGGTCTCTAGTGCTAAAGACACACATTTGCATTTACTGAAGTAAATCTGCCCCTCCCTCTCCCTTAGGAAATCCTTTGTTTTGTTGGTTGGGGGGGTTTTTTTGTTGTTTTTTTGATTTTTTAAGAGTGCTCTTTTAAAGCCTAATTAACTGTACATGCATGGAACAGCTGATAAACGGGGCAACGTTCTCGTGAGCAATGATCATTCCTCCCTCCCCTCCAATTCTTATTCCACGGAGAAGTTAAGTCACCTTCGTCACACATTATTATTCATAACTTACTCAGCTGAATAAACCAGTCAGCCACCACGGCCTTTTTAACATAAATTCATTTAGACATGCAGCAGAATCCCTGCTCTCCACATACCTCTAGTCAATAGCCTTAACTAACCAACATTGGATGGAAAACTTTTATCCTAAGTGCCATCAAAAGTATCCACATCTTCTTTTGTCAGCATGCTCCGGACTATTGGAGGTCTCTCGTTATCAGGCTGCTGAACAGTAGGGAACCATTAAACAAAGCTCTTAGAAAGGCTGCCTAGAAATACTCTGTCCTTGGGGGGCATGCCCAAATTAAGAAAGACAGCATGATGAACGGGAACTGTTGTTTCTTCGAGCCACAAACACACGCACGCCCTCTCTAAAGCAAGGAGCCGGCACCAGAGCAACATTTCAAAGCCTGAGCCCGGTGCTCTGCCCTGCTCCCCTCCCCCAGGTAGGAAACCCTCCGAGGAGCACTGGATTAGCCTGACGTTTGGGGCTAAGCCGAGCACGGTTTCAGGCCAAGGACACTCCGCCGCTGCCGGCCGCCAAGCGGTTCGCCTGGGACCGAGGGAGGAGACCGGGAGGGTCAAGGCCCGGCTGGCGGCGGGGGTGTTCCCCAGGGAGGCGCCGCATCCAGGGGCGGCGTCTCCGGCCGCTGCCGGGAGCGGCGGTGGGAGCGCACGGCGGGGCCGGGCCGCCCCCGGCCTCCCGCCGCCCCTCACGGGCACCGCGCGCAGCCCCCGCCCCGCGGCCCCCGCGCGGGCTCACCCCACTCGAGGAAGTCGGACACGTATCGGTCGCGGCGGAGCGGCGAGTCGCGGCTGCACTCGGCGTAGACGCCGACCAGGAGGTCGAGCAGGGTCTCCACGCTCAGCACGCTGTCGTGCCGCTGCGGCCCGTCCAGCACCAGCTGCTCCAGCCGCTTCAGCCGCACCTTGGCCGACATGGTGCCGCTCGGGCGGCGGGCGCGGGGCGCGCACGGGACGGGGCGAAGCGAAGGCCCCGGGGCTCAGCCGCTCTCAGCCGCCCCGCGCCGCCTCCCGCGGCCGAGCGGCTCCTTCCACGGGCTCCGCGTCGGGCACGGACGGTCCATGGGCCGGACCCGGCCACCCCCCGCGCCGCTCCGCTGCGGCCTCGCCCCGGCGGCGGGGAAGGGCCGATCCCGCTGCCGATCCCGCTCCTCCTCCCCGGGCCCGGCGCGTCCCTCGGAGCGCCTCCGGCCACGCCCACCGCGCGGCGCCCGCGCGCTCCGACGTGGGCAGGGCCGCGCGCAGGAAGGTTGGGCCGGGCGGCGCCCCGTAGCGGCAGATTCGCCGCGGAGAGCGTGAGGGGCAGTGTGGGCTGCGCGTCCGCGTCGGCACTTTCGTGTGTGTGTGGCTGTCTATGTGTCTGTGTCTGTGTGTGTGTTATCCCCAATCAGGAGGTTCTTTGGTGTCAGATCTGTGTGTGCCTTCAAGCACGACAAAGGAGCCCTAGTCAGTGGGACAGGCAGCATCCTTCCCTCATCCCTCCCTCACGGACCTGCTGGCACTAGTGAGCTTCAAGCAGGCAACACATGGCGGTGTTAGTGTCTGTCTATGTGCACAGAATCACAGGATCTCGGAATGGGTCTGGGACCACAACGAGCAGGGTCACCCCAGAGCACATGGCACTGATGGCATCCTGATGGCTTTGGATGTCTCCAGTGAGGGAGACTCCACAGCCTCTCCAGGCAACCTGTTCCAGTGCATGGTCACTGCACTGTGAAGTTCTTCCTCGTGTTTCAGTGGAAAAACAGTGCATCAGTTCCTGTGCATCAGTTTCTGCCCATTGCCTCTTGTTCTATCGCTCAGCACCACGAAGAAGAACCCTCCTCCATCCTCTTGCCACCCTCCTTTCAGATACTTGTAGACATTGATGGGGTCCCCTCTCGGGTTTTCTCGAGGCTGAACAGGACCTGCTCCCTCATCCTTTCCTCATAAGAGAGATGCTCCAGTCCCCCAGTTATCCTTCCTGTTTTCCACTGGACCTGCTCCAGGGGCTCCATTGCTAACTTGGGTAAAATACTCTAGGTCCAAGTAACCTATTGCTGAACCATCTGAAGTGTAATACTAAAGATCACACCTACAGGGCAGAATGACCCCTGCCCAGATGAAAACCCTTTCTCTGAGCACATGTAAAAGTTAGATGGGGTTATGTAACTTGTATGGAAATAACTAACCAGTCCTAGTAGAGAGGCTGGGCTTGGGAAGTTACTAACTCTGAATTTCTGTTTATGAATAATGGTGCAGAAACTCCGGTGGCTTGTGCTTGATTTGTGCAATACCACTGAGCACCCAGGCTTGCACAACCCTGAAATAAATAATCAATATCTCTCTCGAGTGTGCAATTCCTGGCGTGTTGCACACCAGATAATGATTTCCATTTCGTGGACAACATGTGTGTCCAGTGTGTGTGCCCTGGCCTGTGCCATCCTGACAGGGCTGCAGGGCAGAGTTCCTGTCCCCACTGGTCAGCCCTGGGGACCGGGTAGCCTGCCTGAGCTCCCAGCTCCTTCCTGAGCCCCCAGCTCCTGCCTGAGCTCCCAGCACCTTCCTGAGCTCCCAGCCCCTGCCTGAGCTCCCAGCTCCTTCCTGAGCTCCCAGCCCCTGCCTGAGCTCCCAGCCCCTGCCTGAGCCCCCAGCTCCTGCCTGAGCCCCCAGCCCCACACCTGGCCATGCCAGACCAGGGGTTCCCATGGAGGATGTGGTGACCCCAGGGCCACTATCCCCACAGGACTTCATTGGATGCTGTGGCCACTGGGAGAATTCTCTGACCACACCTGGAGTGGGGCCTTCTCTTTCCCAGCCCTGGTCATATTCCCTGCCTCAATGAGGCTGGCAGGGTGGGCATGGCTTTGCAGCAGGACATGGTGTCTGGAAGCTGTGGCTTTTTTTGCCTTTTAGACATGACAGGACTTGATTTCTCAGCAGCAGCTAGCCTGGGCAAAAGGAGCCCTGCGTGCTCACAGCTGCTGCCCTTGGTCCCTTGAAGGAGCAGGGAGCTGGGTGTAGGGCACTCAAACCTTTCCTCAGCCCTGCTTTTTTTTTCCCAGCACAGCTTATTCTGAGAACTGTTCTCTCTGGAAGCTGCAGCACCTCAAGGCAAGATGCTGAGTAGCTTGGGATGGGAGTTTACTTCTGCAGGAATGCAGCCGGTCAGGTCCTGATGCAAAGCCGAGCTGGCAGGGATGCTGTTTCCTTGCCTGTCTCCCCCGGCAGGTAGCTGGAGCGTTGTGCGTTCACAACCATCGCACCGGAAAGGAGGCGGCCGGGGAGCCCTGGCTGTGTCTGGGCGGGGAACACCCTGCCCCGGGCAGCAGGAGCCAGTCTGGGCTTTGTTCAGGGTCAGACGTGACAGGGCAGTCACTGCCCAAAGACCTGAGCGGTGCCATCTGTCACCTCCAGGGCCAAAGGCGAGGCCAAACCCAAGCAGAGCTCACACGGGAGCTGCCCTTTCCCAAGGGTCGGGAGCACAGCCAGGCAGAGCGATGGGATATTTATTGTGGGACAGACCCTGTGACAGAGAGGGCCAGCAGCTGATTACAGAAATACCTGTTTCTAGGATCCCTTGGCCCTCAGGAATGTTTGATATCTCTTTGACGGCAGATATCTGTAACATTTGAAGGCTACTCAGTTCATAATAATACCATCCTGTGCATTTGGACCTAGTACCTGGGTCAAGAAGATACAGGCGTGTTGGGACCTGTTAATTCTAAAAAATGCAAGCTTATAGAAGAGCCTATGAATCACCCAGAGAACCTATAATTTTAAAACAAAGAAAACCCACAGTAGACTAAAATAGTTTTGTTTTTCCTGAATAACTTCTATCTCTTTGTACTTTCTTCTGCAAACATCCACTTGAAAAAAAAAAAAAAGTATTTTGCAGCAGATCTCGAAGTTTTCATTGTTCTCTCGAGGTGTTCCTCCTTGGTTACAGTTGCTTCATGTGACCTCATACTGTGTCATATCACAGATACATTCATTTAGAGGAACCTTGGTATTTTAACAATCACAATTGTTCTTGTGGTGCTGTTGCTTTATTTAAAAGGAGAGCCTAACATTTTCAGCTTATTACCACTTTGGAGAGTAATTTTCACGCAGTTGATCAGAGTAATGGCCAGCGAGAACAGAGTTTTAAGGATCCTGTTACAATATCTGTCTTTGCCCTTATCTGTTCCTGCAGGTGGTGATTACCATCACCTCCTTCAGCAAGGAAGAGAGATAAAGGAGATTGCAGCTGGGTGAAGAAAGAGCCATCTCCACCTCCCAATGGCTCTGCTCTGTTGTTTCCAGTCCCTTCAGTCTGGTTTGCATTGGCAGAATCCAGGGGTTTCGGGAGCTGCTCCTGACCTGCCCCAGAAGCAGGGAAGAGCCGGGTCCGGCGCTGGGAGCAGCACAGATGGGTGACAGATGATGCTGAATCCGGCTTTAACAGCTATGGAGGCTTTAGCACATCAGAGCAACACGTGCAGGATTATTTATGAGCGATACTGTAGGTATTCCAGAATTAGGTGAAATTTTGTTTTTAAAAAACCCTTGCAAAGAGTTAAAAGCCGTGTGCATTGTAAATAATTCTGGATTTTCACAGCAAGGGTTTCAGCTACAAAAAACTCTGCTGAGCTAAAAGGTGACATTTGGTATTCCTACTAGGAATTGTATGTAAATTTGGAAACGTAGCTGAAGGTATTCTGTTTCTGTTACTCATCTGTGCCAATTCCATAGGCTAAAAATAAATGTGATCTGGCTAAAATGGACTAAATGATCCATCTTACCAGTTCCTTTTTCCTATGGCATATTTAAGTGGAAAAATACAGCCCCTTTTTCTGGAACAGATCTGATTTTAAATTTCTAAGGGTTTTGTTTGTTTGTTTAGGTTTTTTGTTTGTTTATTTTGGCAAGTGAACAGATTCTCAGTTTACTCACTTATCTGGAATCCTGGAATCATTGTAGATCTGCAGAACTGAAGGCACAAAGTCTATGTGGTCTATGTGGCTACTGAAAAGTTTTTATGAATCCAATCAACTTTTTTTTTTTTTTTTTTTTTTTTTTTTGTGGCTGTACTCCAAGTAACTTGTAGAGAGAGAAATTCTGTTACAGAATTTTGATGGCAACAGGAAATAGCTGTGTCACTGCTTTATGACTTCAGGAAAATCCGCCCACAGACCATTTTGGAATTAAGGAAAATGAAGAAATAGAGAGTATGGACAGAAATTGCAAGCATAGCTCATTAACAAGGGAAACACCATGCTAAAAATAAAAAGTGAAGAAGTTGCAACTATCTCCTTTGTTACATTCAGACAGATAATTAGAGAAAAAGAGAAAAAAGCATCAAGTTGCAATGTTTTATTTGGTTTTTTTGCCTAAATTGTTTTTATAGTAATAAACAAAGGGAAGTCTAAATAGCTAGAAAACATAGCTAGAAGACCTAAATATATTCTATTCATTAAGGAAATTAGATAAAATTCTTAACTCAGAGAGAAGATGACTAGTGTGCAGCAAGGGAGAAGTTTTCTAAGGATCCAGAATGCAAAATATAATTAAACTGAAATCAGAGAAAGCTCACAGTAATGAGTTCCAAAGGTAGAATATAAAAAGAGTTAAGCATGTCTAAAAGTCACACGACTGCTTTGTATCTTGTTGTTTTCATGGACTTTCCTTCCTGGAATTATTTTTTAGGAAACTGTCACCTTTCCAGCTCTGTTTGTATTTGGCAATATTCTAAAAAATCCCTTCTTGCCAAACACAGTGTAAATATACAGCTGTCATCTATACTGGGAGCCAAAAATAATCCATCAGTGGGAGCTGTCTTTGATGACATTGCACCATGTAAGCCTGAGCATTGAGCTAATGCAGTCAATATTAAAAACAATAGCAAAGTCACCACTGGTTTGTTTGCCATGATGGCAAGTACATAGGAAATTTCTCAAAGAAGACAAAGCCTCTGCTCCTTTGTTGGTGAATGCTAGAACTGTGCTTCAGCTTGCAGGGAGCTCTGTCTGCTTCAGCTCTCTGGTAATGCAATATCTGA